GTGTTGCCAGCCTCAGCTCTGTAGTTGCTTTGGCCTTTCTAACTGCCTCCCTGCAAGTACAGGCCAAGTAGGTATATTCCTCCTTGGTAGCTTCCCCCTGCTTCCACTGCCTATATGCCTTCCTTTGCGCTTTTAGGTTCCTCTGGATTTTCCTGTTTAGCCAAGGATGATTTTGGCTCCTTTTCCCCTTTCCCCCTTTATCCTCATGGTGAAATTGGGAAAATCTGGTCTCAACTACTTTCCAGTCCAGTGGCTAGCTAACTGGCTCCAAAATAGGACCCAGAGAGTATTAATAGTTGGAACTGAGTCAACAAAGTGGAAAGTGACCAATGGCATCCCTCAGGGTTCAGTATTTGGACCAGTGCTTTTCAACACATTCATCAATTATTTGGATTCAGGTATTAAATGGGAACTGGCAAAGTTTGCAGACAACATCAATTATGGGGGAGTATGGTCATGCTCAAGGACAGGCTGACAATACAGGCTTACCTGGGTAGGCTTGTGACGTGGATGGAGAAATGTAAAGTGCTTTATCTGGGGAGAAATAATCCACAACACACTTACAGTCTTGGCAATGCTATGCTTGCCAAAACCACAACTGAAAGAGATCTGGGTGTCGTGATAGATCATGGAATGAACTTGAGCCACCAATGCGATACCATAGCTGACAGCACAAATCAAATGCTGGCATGCATCTATCAATGCATCTTGAGCAAAGGCTAACTATGTCACCCTCCCGCTCTACTTGGCTTTGGTGAGACCACAGATGGTGTACTGCATTCAGTTCTGGGTGCCACACTTCAGGAAGGATGTGGAAAAGCTCAAGAGAGTCCAAAGGAGAGCCACACACATGATTACAGGTCTGGAGAACAGGTCATACAAGGAGAGGCTGAAAGACTTGGGACTGTTCAGCCTGGAGAAGAAAAGACTCAGAGGGGACTTGGTGGCAGCCTATAAGTATATTTGGGGTGTGCATTAGTGTCTGGGGGAGAACCTGTTCACCAAGGCACCCCAGGGGAAGACAAGAAATAATGGGCACAAATTAATTGAAGATTGCTTCAGATTGAACATAAGGGCAAACTTATTTACAAGTCGAGTACCAAGGGTCTGGAACAGACTCCCCCCAGAGGTGGTACAGTCACCCACCCTGGTGATTTTAAAAAAGCGTCTTGATGCCCACTTTGTTGGGGCTATCTAACCCCAGCAGTCTTTCCTGCCCAAGTGCAGGGGGGATGGACCAATGTTCTTGTAAGGTCTCTTCCAGCCCTTACCATTTATGCATCTATGAACCTCTTGGAAACTGACAAGTCTGTGTACTACCAGGTGCTCAGGCAAAGGGATATTAATCTGTTTGTAAAGATTTAGTGGACATGGACACTGCAAAAAGAACCCCAAGCCACATCTCTAGGGCAGGATCTAGCAATTTCATTTATGCTTGAAAACAAATGAACATTTTCTAACTTACTTCTCGGGTATATACAAAGGTTAAGGGGAAATTAAGGTGATGTTAGATCATGTTAAAAATGGCCACCCACTCTAACTTAGTTCACCTGGGTGTGTACCTTAAACTTAGACTAGCTTGGCCATTTTTAGGCTGATCTAACCTTAAAAACTGTATAGTTTACACTTAAATCAATTTAACTATGGATCTAAGTTAAGTGTACCTCTGAGGGTAGTATAAATTAGATCAGTCTCACTGGACCTAACCTAATTGAACTTCTGTACAGTTTCCAGTGTAGCCCTAGGGCTGGGAAAGCCCAGTCACTGGCCAGACCCAGGGCTGCACTTTTCCTACCTCCCTGCCATCACCAGGCTATTTTTAGCTTCCTAGCCCCTTGCCTCACCCCCAGGTAGAAAACTACTCTGTGAACCAGCCAGCCGTCCCTCTCTCTTTGACTGCCAAACCCACCATCCTGCAAGCCACTCCCAGCACTGACTTTACTAATTATTGCCAGGGCCAGGAGCCAGGGAAATAAATCAAGGTGAGGGAAGGGGCAGGTGGGATTGGAAGGGGAGAGGGGGAGTTGTTCACCTGGGAATGGTGTAGGTTGTGAAAAATAGCCTCTGGTCCCAGGTGTGGAGAGAGCCCCCCCAGACCCCTTGCAAGCCCTGCTAGTGACTTGATCCCACCAAGTCCTCCCAGATCCCACCAACCCCCACTCCCACAGACCCTGATAGCTCTCCCAATCCCCCAAGCCCACCCGCAGACCATGCTTGCCCCCAATCTTCCTAAGACCCCCAATTAGCCTCCCCATTGTGACTTAGCTTAAATCAGGTGGCCATTTTTAACTCGATCTAACCTCCTCCTAAGGTCTGTATGTACCCCTAGATTATTAAAGCTTCCAGATTAATGAGCCTTGAAGTAGCATAATACATGGCAATTAGATTTCAGAGCAATCAATATGGCTGATAACCTTACAAAAGCAGTATCTAACCCCACTGTCTTTGTTTTCACTCTACGCATGTAGGGTCTTTAAACCTTGATTCACAAACAATTAGTGTAGAGTTTCTCAAACTGTTATGAGGCTGTTTTTCCCTATGAGGTGCTATCCACTCCCAGGTTGCATGCAAACAAGCCTAGGAAAGCTGCAAATATGAAACATTTTTCCTTCTTTGTGGATCATTTTTACTTCAGACTCAGCAAAATCAGAACTGCCTATTGCATTCTGAATATTTTATAGACTCCTCTGGGGTTTGCTGGATCCTAGTAGAAATGACCTAGTAAGAAATAAAAATTAAGAGGTTGCCCTGTCTAAATGTTCTGAATATTCTTTCACTGCTAAAAAGAATCCCAAAAGGTGCATGCATAAAGAGACAGAGTTTTTGGAGTACAGAGTGAAACAAGGAAAATCATAGTTGTTTTTTAGGCAGAGTATGAAATGGTCAAAGAAGTATTGATTTTGCTAATATAACTGAAATTTATGTGGACAAGTATATACAGATATACACATTTACTGTATTACTTATCTAACTATATGTATAAAATGAATAACCAAAGAAAACCTGCACTTTTGATTTGAAAATGAAGAAATAGACTTTTAATGTCAGTGGAATTGTAATACTTCTATTTCTGTATTGATTGGTTATGGTAACTACCCTGCCGAATGTTAAATGGAATTTGAGAGCATTGCAACCAAAAATAAAATTAATAGTTTCTGTGGTCTTGTTAACCTGCACTATGTGAACAGACTCACGTTCCTACCTCAGGATTAGAATCTTGGCTATAGTTATCTAATCAGGGAGCCACAAGCATATTACGTGGTTTATGATAATTAACCAACACAAGTTGAACATTATTAAACATCTTTTGTACAAATAAAATTAATCTTTCCTGGTAACTCACATTAGTAAAGTCCAAATACTCCAATATGGAAATGTCCTTGAAAGTGCAGTGAATATAAACAAGCTATAACTTGCTTTTGAGTTTTGATAGATTATAAACTCTGTGTGTGTGTGTGGGGGGGGGGGGGGGCACACAAAACCCCCCCCCCCCCCCCTTGCACACATACCCTCCCCCCCCCTCCCCCACACTGGTTCCTCAGTTGTTGGCATGGAGACTGCTACCATAAAAACTCCCAAAATGGCCTTGTTATGCTGCTGAAGTATTTGACAAAATAGATTTTTTTTTAAAAGACAGTTTTGCACTCTTATTCTGAGTAGCACTGAGGAAACATATCTCCCTTTTCCTATTGTGGCACCTCACATTCCTGTCCACTCTTCTTTCCATATCTTTGTGTCACCAAGGATTTTCTTTAGTTCAGGAAAGAAGAGAAAACACCCCTACCCAGTCCTTCTTTCTAGGAAATACTTCCAGGATTTGGGAGACAACCTGTGCATTAGCAGCAGTGATCTAGCACTTGCTACTAAAAGGCTTCATAGGACCCCAGTTGCTCTAGAGATGAGATTGGTATACACATGAATTGGAGATAATGCCACGAACATAGGACACCCATTAAACAGTACTTTGTGTTGCTTTCACCATTTCTTCATTGCATACCTCATCATTATACCTCCAGGATTACTTTGCCTAAAGGGAAATGGGACTTCGTTAATGTACAACTCTGAACACAAAGTCTACAATATGAACAAACAGCTGACTGATACATACAGACACTTTCAAAATGGACATTCTATTTTCCAACATTTGAGGCATTCAGGTCTGTTATTGTGGTCTGGGTCCATTCCCCCACAAAAATGTATTTAGAAAAAAACTCTAACAATGGGGAGGAGGGGGGAGAAATAGGCTTATGCAGCAACCTACGAAGTTTATCATCAAATGTTGTCCTTGATGATGCATGATTCACTGAATAGCAACTGATAAAAGTGACACATATTTGCTCTTCATAAGCAGAAATATTGCTAATTATTTTAACTTCAACAGGGTTGTTTATTCATGAAGATTGAAGATGGTATTTTGAAACCTAAGATGTTAATTTTGACTTTATCTTGCAAATGGCAATCTGGTTTGACATATTTGTAAATTAGGGTTATTTTGTTTTCTTGAAAACAAACACAAGAACTTCCATAATCAATCTGTTATTATATCTGGAATCAACAATTCAACCCATGAACTTGACATCATCTCTCAGTTACTGCAACTATAATACATCAGTTGTATGATGCCAATGCGTTTGTGGACTGGAGGAAATGGGTTTTGTATTGAAGGATTCGTTCAAAGGTAGAATGATATACTTTTTACCTTGAGAAGAAAAAAGAAAGGGAAACATACTATTTTTATAATCTTTTTTTGCTCATGGAAACTTTGTTCATGCTCTGCATTTCACTCCCGGAAACACATTTAGTATCACAGGCATCTGATGCTTATATCCCTCTCAAATCAGTACAAAATAATGAGGCATAATACTATACAATACAGAAGAACACCAACATTCCTCAATATGTTTGTTATTCATTATAATGCATGGTCTATTGTGTTATTGTATTAAAAGTCTGTAAAATAGTATTTAGTCTTACGTATTTTTGTCAATATTTGTTCTCAGCTAATTCAGACCATCAGTGCAGTGGATAAAGATGATTCAGTGGAAGGCCATCACTTTTACTTCTCTCTCCAAGAGGAGACCACAAACAACTCAGGTTTTTCTGTCAGAGATAATCAAGGTAGTGTCACTCATGCAGTTTTTAAAAACTGCTTCATAAAAGATGCATATTTTTAATGTAGTCACATTGCCATGCCACACAGTCTTTCAACTGTATAGACATTTGCAGTGTAAAGTTTGAATACGAGTACAAAAGTTTTTAGGCAAAGCTTTTAAAAAATAATAATTCTACACGCTCATAAAAAACTGCTTTTAGAAACCAAAGTTTAACCAACACAAGACAGTATCAAAATACAAAATAAGATGCTTAGCATAAAAAAAGTTGATGGGGATAATTTAATACTTGGTCACTAATATATAAAACATGCTCTGGACACAACTTTCTAATTAACTCTACATTGTCCTATGTTAATTTTTTAAATATAGGAGAGTATTCAGTAAATAAAATGGAGAATTAATATTAAAAAGGTCTAAAAAACATAGATACAAATCGCCAGTTATACAAGTTCACTTTACGTTACATTTTAAATTTTGGATACTGATTACCAATAGCATCATATAAATGACATCTCTGTTTAATGCTATGCAGTTCTGGTATTGATCCAGATTCTTAAACAGAATGATATACGGGGACTTCAATCGAAACCAATCTGTAAAGAAAACTTAAGTTCAACAGCTGTTGAGACTGCAGAAAAGAAGACCACTTAAATTCAGTCTTCTGAGACTTAAAACTGCTACAGACTCCACTAAAGTACACATTGTTCATATTGACTTTGCTCATTATTTGAAAGTTCTGGCTAGGTGAATAAATCAATAGGACTACATTTTGGAAAGTTCGGTCTATGTCAAATAGCAAACTATGCTATTTAAACTAATGCTCCAATGCCAAAGTCAGTGTTTTAATGTTTAATTTCTCAGCTTCATTAACCTCTCACTCACCACCAGGAGGTGGAACCTTGCTGGGTTATGGTCAGATTTTGCATTGCCTCTTTCCATTTTGTATACTTCACACAAGGTCCAAGGACAGGTGTCTTTGAGTGATATCACGACCATGTGCTGCTGGAGATAGAAATTTGTCCCTAAATTTCTGGAATTTCAGGAAAAGATTAGACTAAGGCCCAATTCTCTCCACCTTTGCCATGTTCCATGAAGCTAGATGGACAGTTCTAGACCTGAGGAAAACCTGAATCTACAAAGGTGGCACAGTTCTTAATCAATGCCTACTCAGAACTATGCTTAAATAGCATTATATGATCTATGATGTTACAGAATTCTTTTCAACAGAGGCCAGTGCAATAGGGAAAAGGCTAATTATAGACATCTTATAGACACACACACATAAACACACATACTTTGTTTCTGGATAGTGCTTAAAAATCTTAATTGTACTATTTTTCATTTCCCCCCTACCTCTACATTGCATTACACACATTTATGCAAAAGTTAATTTTGCATTAGGCATATTTCCCTGGAAGCTCATACCTAAAATATGTCTTTAATGTGAATGAGCAGGCAAGCAGCATGAGTTGAATCTGCAATACCTGTTGGGTCAAGTAGCTTCATGAAGGATCTATGCTAATTTTTAAATGACAATATTTAAATGCAAATCAAAGGTGAAGGGTCTCTGGCTCTGCTCCCAGTTGAAATTGCAGAAGCACAGGTGGCTCCTAGTTTGAGATAGTAATTACTCAAAGAGAAGTTTAAGGCACTCCCCACCCAAACCACCAAGAAGCCATCTTTGGAATTTTGATCCTTTTGATTATCAGGAGGTATAATATCATCTGCAAACATCTGGATAGGATGGCAGCTGGCTTGAGGGTTTTTTCTCCCCCTTTAGATCTGAACATTAAAAACAGAAGTTCTTGGTCAAATTCTGTCTTCATCGATGACATACTTCATGTGCAGTTGCACTGAATCTTAGTGTAAAACATTTTCCACACAGTAAGACCACATCAATAAAATGTGCTAACGAATAAATATAATTGTTGTTTTTGCAAACTTGGGAAAAATCTGGTATTACCAATCTGAAGTGGGGATGTCTTTAGACCTCCTGAGCCCAAACACCAAAGTTCAGAAGGATAAAAAAAATGGCTCTGGGTTTAGCTTATCTTGCATTTTACATTACAATAACATTGTGAAAAAAATGTATAGAGGAAAATAAACAAAATAAAACTTACTTCTTCCCAAAAACCAGAACCAATAACCAACTAAGTAAACAACCAAGGAAACAAATACAAAAAAGCCTAAGACTTGTCCTCTGAAGTCTCTTTACTTTCTGTATGGTGCCTGATGCTTTTGTAACTTATCAGTAACTTAACAAGTAACTTGTCACGTCCAGCTCATTTTACCTGTCTTTTTAACTCCTTTACAGAAGTTATGTTCCTCTGCTATACCCTTTTTCCTCTTTCCTGTCTCTCTCAACATGTATCTCCACTTCAGATTTAGCATATATGATTGCCACTGAAGTCTGACCATCCAGGTTAAATTATCCTGCATACAAGTGCTACCCATATGTCTGTGTTGCCTAAGGACATGCCAGCCTGGTTCTTTATAAAAAGAGACTTCGCTTCAGTCAGTTGTGTCAGCTGTGTGAGAATAAGTCTCTTCTGGAGGGATTTGTAGGAAAAAGATTGGACAATTATCAGTGTTTGAATGCTTGCTTGTGTCCTCACTGCAGAGTGATATGGTCTAGTCAGAGCAATGTTTTAACGTGAGCCATAATCCACATCCTAAAGTAAATAAATCAGCTCAGGAAGAATGTACCTCCAAAAGTGGGTTGGAGGTGTTTGTATGAATGATCGTGAATGGACTAATACCTAAATTAGAACCTAGGTTAACTGCAATGAAACATCCCTTAATGACACACAGTTTTTTACTATGCCATTAATATACATATCTAATGTGTATACTTCATCCTTTAGATAACACAGCTGGGATTCTTACAGTTAAAAATGGCTTCAGTAAACAAGAACAGCTTGCTTTCTACTTGCCTATCTTAATTGCGGACAATGGAGCCCCATCACTTACCAGCACAAACACTCTAACTGTCACTGTCTGTGACTGTGATAATGAAGCTAATGTCCTGTTCTGTCGATATGGAGCTTTCATGTATGCCATGGGTCTCAGTACAGAAGCCTTAGTTGCTGTTTTGGCATGTATATTAATACTACTAGGTAAGTAAAAATAAGTCAGATGACTTCAGAATTCTTATAATGGGAGAGGGTGATGGGACAATATATCTTGATCATATGTTGTATCCAACAAGTGATAGGAAGAAAAAGAATCCAGGGTGTGTGTGTTGCTTTGAGTACACATCAATATTGTTTCATTTACAAGAAAAATTATAGTTTTGTATCTGTCAGCTTGAAAACTCAGCTGCAGAGCTGAAAGGTGAGGTACATTCCTGTCTGCTCATCAACAGTCATAAAGATTTGGAAGGCAAACACCTATCTTCAGCACAACTGAAAGTGAAGGTAGAATTTAGCACTGTAGTTGAGATTTAGCTGAAAGTTCTGGTGGTGGTGCACAGCAAAATAATACCATCCAGCCATTTCTCCAGTTATTTCCCCAAGTAATTGACACTTTTAAGCCCTGTTTGAGGATACAACCTTAGCCTCCATAAAATCAAGCACACTTTTGTGTCCAACCTGATAAACATGGTTAGTAAACTTAAAATATTTCTTTCATATTAACATGTTCAAATGTTTGAGAAAGATTTCATATATCTATCAAGATAGATTGGGAGCTAGCCCTGTGCATTTGCACTTCAGTGCAGATACAAGTGCATAGCTAAAAGGGCTGCTCACAGTAAATACTGATACCTCTTTTACTCTGAGTGCAGAAGCTATTAGTTTCTGTTACTTCCATGTCCCACTTTGCCCCACAGAGTAGAGTTAAAGCACCAGTAAGAATCTCCTCCATCCAAATGCAATAACCAGTGATCTATTCTAGCAGAGGAAGATTCAATCTACACTCCTTTTGCAACAACAGTAGTGCATTGAATATGTCATCTGTGCATTGCAATGACACTGGAACAACATAGCCATTGGTATGCTATACTATACAATTAAAATAAGGGCAAAATGTCTCTCAGTGGAACAGAGCCACTTAGCTACAATGGGCACATCCTGAAGAGCCTGCGTGTGCCTCTTGTGGCATCTCAAAGCAATTTGAGATGCCGCAAGAGGCGCGCTGGGAACAAAAAAGTGTTCCCCATGCTAAATATTTGCAGCGCGGGCTCAAAATTTGACACCTGGAAATACAGGTCTGAGGTGGCTGGGGCCACACTGCCCCATGTGGGGGTTTGTCAGCAGCGGGCCCTGAGTGTCAAAGGCTACTGCTGCTGTGGGGGCAAGATGTTGGCCCTATGGGGTGGGGGGAGGCTGTGGGCCATGTGTGGGGATCTGTGGCCCTGTAGCGGGGGCTGTGGGCCCTGCAGGGCGGTAGTCCATGTGCTGTGGGGGGGGTGCACCCTGTGGGGAGGGCAGGGGACCCACCTGTCTTGAGCAGCACCCCCACAGTCTCCCCATACCCAGTCCCCCCACAATCCACCCATACCTACCCACACACCCCATGCCCCCTCACATCCCCTCCCCCACACACACCCATATCCCCCCAGACTCCTTCCCACCCCACTCTTGCAAATCTCATATCCCCTAATTATACATGCCCAGTTGCCAGACAGGATGAGACCTGCTGGCAGCAGCTGTGGCTACAGGGGCAGCTGTCCCCACATCCTAGTTAGTGAAGGTGTTTGGGCGGGAGCTGTAATTGTTCTATGATAAGAAAACCAACAGCAAACATCAAAACATATAGATATTTAGAATTTATTTTATTATGATGATAGAGACACTGGTCGGATTCCAAACTGCTTTAAAATTGTAAATATATCCATAAAACATTGCCCAACTGATCAATCTCTCGCTCTCTGTATATAAATAGATAGACAGACAGACAGACAGATAGTGGACTTTTGTTTTAATTGTGGAGGAACATAGATTTTGGGGTATTTTAAAGAGTGAATTTGGGATTTTTTTAATCAGAGAATTTGCCATTTTTAGATAGGGAACATCAGGAGTTCTGCTAGCGGGGCAAGTGGCAGGACACAGGCAAAGGAGCCTGTTCATGGCTGGCACCCAGGACCCAGCTGGAGGTGGCTGACCTCCTGGCCACTTGGGGCCAGGAAGACATGCTTTGATAGTTCAAAGCAGGCCACCATGCTAGGAACATTTTCCAGGCAACAGCTGCCCAGATGGCATGGTGGCAGCACACATGGTAGCAATGCCACATGAAGGCTAACTGTGCAGCCACAGCTCCCTGGCAGCTGGCCCAGAGGTGCAGATGCAGGTGCAGGTGCAGATGCCTCTGCTGCACAGTAGCATCACTTAAAAGGTGTTTGCCAGAGCTACTGAACTGTAACTCAGGTTACTGTGCAGTTATTTAGTACTTGATTATATAAGTTCTAAATTAAATGCACAGTAACCACTGCACATTAATGAATGTGTAAATGTGCCCAATAAGACCTAAATCCAGCAACACAATAAATGTTTCACTTATTCTGATGTTAAAAAATAAGTTTAGCAAACACTTTAATCTCCACTGGAAGTAAAACTGTACTAACCTCTCCCCCCCTCAACATAAAACCCAATTAGAATGTGATTTTTTTTAAAAAAAGCTTTCACTAGTTACAAATGAAACAGTAATGAAGCAGTATTACAATGCTGAGCCTGTAGGGATAAATATTTCCTGAAGTGCCTAATGTTAGTCAAAGAGAAAAAGAAAATACGAAACATTTCCTTTCATCTGAGGTCTTTGTTTTTAAATTATTGTAGACAAATTATGGAAAGCCTTCTCCGCCATCCCCCCCCAGTGAAGCAAATCCAGAGAAATATTTTTTCTTATCTTCATTTCACAATGTTACTGCAAGTAGTCTAGAAATAAACAGCAAAATATGCATGATCACTATACACTGTGTGGCTTGAAAGACCATATTCTGATATCAGTTATGGTGCTCTAAATAGGAGCAAATCCATTGGGTGCTGAGGTGAACACAATTACTTCTAGTTTACATCAGGGCAAATGAGACTATATAGTAACATCTATCATATTCCATATTGCTTTATGCTCTATGCATCTCCCTGGCTTCAATTTGATGACTACAATGCATATAAATAGACTGCATTTAAAGCCATCCCACAAGTATAACCACCTTGTAATAATAGTATCATAGTTCTGGGGGGAGGTGTATCTTTGACCCCTCACTCACTCTGTAGGCATTCTTTCCAACAGCGGATATGTACCTCTCTCAGAATGAAATATTCCAATTTACCCATCCCTTTGGTTCTAAGGGCACAGAACCATGTTCCATCAATGAAATATATCCTCACTACAATCATAAGATTTGGTCCTTTCCCTAGGAAAGTTCACATACAGAATAGCGTCTTCAAAACTGCTATTTATCCTTAGGAACACAACAGAGAGAAATATGGTTTAAATAATTAAAAGCTCATATATCTTACTCCTTGGCTGAAAAATTAGATTTCTCATGCAAGTAACCAATGGGTTTCCTTGTCCTAGGACCACTTTTCCACCATTGACACCGTGTAAAGCAGATAGCCAGTTTATCAGCTCTGTTTCTTAGGGACTTGTTACACATTAATTTTAGCTGGCTTCCGGAGCTCTTAACCCCTGGATTGTGCACACATTTACACCTGAAACTACTTTTAAGCACACTTTAGGCAGCTTAAAGTTATGCCACTCCAGGGCAGGTTTATCTCTAATTCATGTTACCCAGATGGTGTTCCATTACTGTATTTTCACACATAAGCCTGCCCATGGGTATAAGCTGCACCCAAGCATAACCCGTGGAAAATTGTATTTTTGTAAATTAATCTGTGTATATGCCGCACCCATGTATTCCCTGTGGCGGTGTATACATGGGGAGATGGTGCAGCCCGGCCCGCCCCAGCCCCGTGCTGGGCCCAGCAGGGAGGCGGCACAGCCCGCCCTAGCCCTGGCCCCGGCCCCCATGGCAGCAGCGGCGCAGCCTGCCCCAGCCCCTGTGGCAGTGGCAGCAGTAGCAGAAGCGGAGCCTGCCCTGGCCCCAGCCCCCGTGCTAGCAGCGGCGCAGCCCAGCCCAGCCTGCCTGGGTCCAGCGGGGAGGTGATGTAGCCCGCCCTGGCCCCGGCCCCCGGGGCGGTGGCGGCGCAGCCTGGCCTGCCCGGGCCCAGTGGGGAGGTGGCACAGCCCGCCCGGCCCCCATGGAAAAAAAGTTCATCAATAGCCCGCACCCCTGTATAGCCCACACCCATCCATTTTTTTTGTAAAATCGCGTATACCCCTTTGGATATATGAGTGAAAATACAGTAATATGTGGCCATTCCCCACAGATGAGCTGCCCAAGTTGCAGTCCTTGAGCATCCCAGTCCTTGACATCCGACTGTCCCCTCCCCTCCTGTTCTGTGTGGATAAACCTTCCAGCTCATGAACTCTACTGCTCAGGGGAAAGTTTTGGCACCAAGCCAACTCCTCCTCCTTTATTTTATCCTTCAGTGGCTGACTTCCTTCATTTCACCACCCATTCCCAACCTCATTTCCTTTCCACCTCCCATTTCATTACCCATCCATATCCCATTAACTCTCTACCTCCTAGTGGGATGGTTTGGTTGGGACATAGGCAGCCATACCTATAGATAGACCCTGGGGGACAAGTAGGACATTATCAGGGTTGGGGCACAGATTGCCAGAGCTAGGAGAGGAGATCCAGGAGATGTAGTCTGAGATTTTTCCCAGTTTTGTTCTCCTGATAGAAAAAGGTATACAAACCTGAGTGCACAGACATTTGAGTGCTGAGGCCCTGAAGAGTTCACAGCTGGTAGTGCTAACACTGTGAAGCCAGGGGGGAGGAAGGGGGCCCAGTGCACACATCTCAGCATGCTCTGTAGGTTGTTTTAGTCCATCTGGTAACAGATGGCTGCAGTGTGTTGGTCAGCTCTGATTGATTTAGAAAAGATTTGGGAAGAGAGATTTAACTCTGGTTGTTCTCAGGTTATTTTTTTCTCCTGAAGCAGTCATTTTGATTCTGGGAGAAAAAGCCTGAACCTCTGCATACTTGTGATTTCTTCTTGGAAAACAGTAACTTTCATAAGAGAAACTGAATGCCTGTACAAGGCCTTAGAATGACATGTAAGTCATCAGTGTCCCCCCCACACAGGATTCTGTATTTCCTTCCTTTGCCATGATACATCTTATACATCTGTAGTGAATCAGTGGCATTATAGTGGATTCATTGCATTGTCCATTTAACACTGGCAATTGAATAAGAATATATGGACATAAGAGGTGTTATACTGGGCCAGGCCAATGGTCCATCTAGCCCAATATTCTGTCTCTGACAGTGGTAGAAGTGGATGCTATATACAGAGAGCATTGAACTAGGTATGTCTACAGTGATGTATTCCCTATTCAATGGCCTTCCTGGCATCCACCATGTATTGGTTTGGAGATGTCAGATGAAACATCTCCAAACATTCTGTTCAGCAGCAATTAATAGAGCTATCATCCATGAATGTGTCCAGTCCCTTTTTGAATTTGGCTATGCAGTCTGCCTCTACCACCCCCGTGTGGCAATGAATTCCAAAAGTTAGCTATTCACTGTGTAAAAACTACTTTATTTTGTTAGTTTTAAACCCATCACCTACTAATTTTAGCAGGTGCATCCTAGTTCTAATATTCAGGGACCTGGTGAACAATGATTCCCTGTTTACTTGGATCACACCCTTCATGATTTTCTAGACTTCTATCATATCTCCCCCTCAGCCTTCTTTCCAAACTGAAGAGTCCTAGCCTTTTCAGTTTTTTTCCTGCTATAGCAACTACTCCATTTTCCTTATCATTTCCCTTGCTCTTCTCTATAACTTTTCTAATTCTACTACATCCTTTTTGAAATGTGGAGACCAGAACTGCACACAGTATTCAAGATGTGGACATACTATGACAGTGTTCTCTATTTTGTTTTCAGTACTTTCTTAATGGTGCCCAACATTTTATTGGCTGTTTTTGGTCACTGCTTCACACTAAGCTGACATATATATGTATACCTACAGTGACTTCAGGGTCTCTTTCTTGAGCCTTAACAGCTAATTCAGAACCCAGCATTATGGCTGTATAGTTGAGATTATTTTTTCCCCAGGTGCATTACTTAGCACTTGTTGACACTGAAGTTCATCTCCCATTTTTTTTTTTTTTTTATTGCCCATTCACTTAGTTTGGTGCAATCTTTCTGCAGCTCCTCTCCATCAGGTTGGAACTTGACTACCCAGAATAATTTGGTATCTGCAAATTTGGAGTTTTCACAGTGCACCCCCCATTTCCAGTTCATTGATGAAAATGTTGAACCAAATAGAGCCCAGCCCACTTTTGACCTCCCTCCATCCTAAAAAGTGACCATTTATGCCTACCCTTTGCTTCCTATCTTTTTAACCACCTCTCAATCCAAAAAAGAACCTTGTTTCCAATCTTGTGGCAACACAGTTTTCTTAAAGTCTCTGGTAAGGAACCTCATCAAAAGTCCATACATATTATGTCAACTGAATTTCCCTTGTCTATGTGTTTTTTAGTAATTGTTGTGTTCTTAGGCATGTAACTAAAAGCATCAGGTGGCATAAACCCTTAAAATTTCATTGAGTTACCTACCCCACAGTACCCAAACAGAGACTCAGATACAGCTATCTCCCACAATCTTCAAAGATTCACGTATTTAAAATGTATTAATGTTATATAATAATAATAGTGATTATATTTGCCCTATGCTTGTTTTATTTACTGCCTGTTTTATGTTTTCTTTGGATCATGGAAAAATTGTAATCTCCCTTAACAGATATCCTCATACAAAGAATTCAAGGCCTGGGCCTATGATGAGCATGTGAATTTAAAAATGTACTGTTCAAATTCATGCTTGAAGTTAGTATTTCAATTTTCAGGGTATTATCTCTTGTAAGTATAGGAATAATTCAGCAACATTTGCTTAAATGTGAACCTGCCAAGTTTCTCAGGGCAACCATCACATTGTGTTCTGAATAAAGAATTACAGTTTGCAAAGCTGTCAGTCATATCTGTTCCATTTTAAACTACATTTAATTTTCAGCTGTATTAAAGGTAAAAGCTGGGATCATGCATCCCTTTATATCCTATTAAGAATGTAGTTTTGAAATGGACACCCTAGTTTTGAATAAAGTAAGCCAGTATGTGAAGGGGAAAGGATGACTAAAAACAAACAAATAAACAGAAAACATATTTAAAAAATGCTATATTTGAGAAAGCAGGTTTTCACATCAGCAATGTACAAGCTGTCTTTACAGACAGAGCTTGCTGATAATTGTAGCTGCACAATATCATCCCTACAATTCTTATTGACATTTCTCAAAATGCAAAGCCAGAGAGTAGAAACAAGTGGACCACATGCCTAGCTAGTATAATTGATTTCACTTTGTGGAAGTCAGTGGAACTGAACCAGTTTACACCAGTTGAGGAGGTTCTGGCTGCATATATTTCCTTTTTCACTCCCCTGTAATTCTTGGGGTTTTGATCTGTGAGGGGGAGGGGGTAATGACGTTTTGAAAGAAGTATTGATATATTATGTGGTAAGGCAAACTAGTATCAAACAACGTAAACCACATTCCCTTAACCGCTCTGAACCCTCACTGGGCAAAAAAAAAAAAATACCTGCTCCATTTCCTTAACTCATTTTATAAGTCCCTTTGTAGCCATTTTGCCATCAAATACTCTGTTCATCTTACAACCATAACATCTATATATAAAAAAAAATCACAGTCCTATAAATCTACGCAGATTGATGTTGGTGCAAGCTAAAGTAATGCTAGGCAGTTTTACCACCTGTAAGTCTTTCCAAAGGCATTCAAAGTCTCTGGTTCTTTTCATTTTTCTTGTCAGTGTTTGTTTTGGCAATTCTGGCCCTAAGGCAGCAGAGAAAGAAGTCACTATTTTCTGAGAAGGCAGAAGAGTTCAGAGAAAATATTGTCAGGTATGATGATGAAGGAGGTGGAGAGGAGGACACAGAGGCTTTTGATATTGCAGCATTGAGGACCCGTACTGTCATGAGAGAGCACAAGCCTCGAAGAAATATCACAACAGAAATCCAGAGCCTTTACAGACAGTCTCTGCAAGTTGGACCTGACAGTGCTGTGTTCCGGGAATTCATTTCAGAAAAGCTTAAGGAAGCCAATGCAGATCCTAATGCTCCTCCATATGATTCCCTTCAGACATATGCATTTGAGGGGACTGGTTCTTTGGCTGGATCCCTTAGCAGTTTAGGATCACATGTGTCAGACATGGGTGAGAGTTATGATCACCTTAGTGAATGGGGGCCACATTTTAAACGACTTGCCAAGCTATACTGCCCCCACAAAACTGCAAGGGATTAGTAACTGTTAGTGGCCACATTTTTTTAAGTGCTCATCAGCCAAAATCGAGTTTGGATTTTCAAAGAAGATCAACATATTTAAGCACCCACTTGCAATGCCCAGATTTATTAAAAGATAGAACAATGTTGGATGGTTGAGATCTTTTGTATCATAATATAAAGTGGCATAATAAGTGATGAATCTAGCCCCACGTTAAGTGCTTACATTGCAAGCTATGCTCTTTGAAAATCCAGTCCCAATTATGGCTGCTGAAAATTTGGCCTCAAAAACAGATTAAATGAAAGCCATAAGATTTTTGTAAATAATCTTCTTGGTTTAAGCTTTAAACTATTTCCAAAGTTAAAGCAGACTTTTTTTTGTTGGGTTATATTAATTAACCAAAGGTAAATCGTGCATATTTGCATTCTTTTATAAATACCATTGTGCAAAAAGATAGAGAATAGGCATTTTAAAATGCTTGTCTGTCACAAAAACTTACAGAATCTTCTGGTTATTTATTTTTAGCATAATAAGACTACAACAAATGTAGTATTTAGTACTGTAAAAATAAAGATCTGTTATAGTCAACATTTAGTTACTATTACATTTGCACTTTTATTAAACCATTGGGAAGTGTACAGGACTCATAAATTTCCCAGGTGATGTATGAAGAAATTATAAAGGATAAAAAGTATTAGATTCTGCTTTGAAGCAATATTCAACTTAAAAACTGTTATCAGCTTTGTTACATATTACTGTACATAGAACCAAATACAACCCATGTCTGGGTATCTTCTCTTTTATTAAGAGCCTAACTGATGATTGATTTCTCAGCACAGATTTATTTATTTTTATTATGGAATATAAAATTAGCTGCAGTACTCATTTTTATTGTAACAGTATTAAAGATCTTTAAAATGCTAAGCTGGTGGACATAAAACTTTATGCATAACATTAGATAATAAGATAGTAAAACACTTTAATGTTAATCCAGCTCTTCAGTAAATGATCCCACATCATTCTGCAGGAATCAAGTCAGACTTCAAAATTAATTTCTCACTATATTTTTTAACATAGTGTGTAGCTAGTATTAAATTCACGTAGAATTTTCTTTCATTTAGCTATGTGGTTGATCAGCAGAAATGCAGCATCTAAGAACCATCAAGTACATTCAAATAGCTTGCTTTAAAAAAGGGGGCATGACTGTTACTTATTCACCCTTTTTCCATTAGGTGCTTATTTTACAGCATAATGTAACAAACCGAAACATTTCAACAGCTGAAAGCTGGCATCAGGATAAAGAACATAGTGCAATTAGCTATTTAAGTTCGCAGGTAAGCTCCACTAAATTATAACAAGTTAGGCAAAGCTTATACAAAAGATGAAGAGGCATGAAGTCATATCAAACATTGCAAAGCATGTACAATTACTTGTTTATTAAAGAAAAAAGCAAGGGCTGAGGCTAAATAGAAAGGTGCCAATACCAGAGATACTGTAAATACCTGGCAGCTAAATATAACACAAATGAAGGAGCTTGAGAAGAAGACAGTTCCAAAGGGAAGTGTGTCCAGGGAAGAGAGATTATGTACTCATGACATCCACTCTTGGAACTATATCAGTGAACATGTGACTAACAGCAGATGAGACAGCACATGTGTAATAGGGAAAAGCTGGCTGTTGCAGGTTGGAGGCTGAGTTCCTCCTATGGATGAATGCCTATGGAGCAACTTTAAAAGATGCACAACAAGGACGCTTTGCAGTAATGTCTCTAATGTTTGAATTCACTGGCACTCCAGCAGATGGGACAAAATGATTTCTAGTTGAGATAATATTGTGCATAGTAAACAATTAGCTCCATGGAAAGGAATAGAACAGAAAAGCACAAGTGAACACACATGTGCTTGCTTGGGTGCAGAGGGAAGTAGATAGTTTGAGACCAGATTTTGAAACCCTGCATTAATACCTCATTCCAAAAAATGGTCCCCTTGACTTAATAGACTTTTCCTTGAATTCAGATTGTATTCACTACAAGGAAGGATATTAGACTTTGAGATTTAACATGGTCCATGGGAAAGGAATCCTATTTTGTTTAGTAGGTAAATATAAGAATCCATTCTTAGCCTCATATTATAGTTGAATCTGCTTACAGTGATGCTCCTATATTTCATTTAATTCTATTCATACAATAAGTATTCTACAATAATGAAGAACATCTTGCATTCAAAAGCTTGTCTAACTCTAGCCCAGCTATGCAGTTGGTCCAATAAAATATAGCACCATAAGAAATCCTTGCCTCTAAGTTTATTTAATTAATTTATCAGTGTGCTATTTCTCCTATTAGCTGCTATACAGGAACAACTACTAGACAAAGACATTTCCCTTTTAGTACAAGTAATAGTATTAATGAAACTGAGATTAAATCCCAAATTAAGCAGGGATCATTGCATGGTGTGAGTTTCACCAGGTTTCTGATAATAAATGGCAAATTAATGGCCTGATGCAATATACTATAACCAAGCTAAGCATATTCTGTTAAACAATGCCCAAAGAGTGATATTACAGAAGTCTGCACTTTTAAAGTGTAAATACCAAGGAGACACAGGAGTTTAACAGGTGAAAGAGCTATAACCAGGATTAATGGGATAGAATTAATAAAGGGAAAATTTAGGTTGAATGTCAGCAATGATTTCATGATGGTGAGATTTATTAAACTATAGAATAGCCCTCTCAAGGGAAGCCACTATTACATGGGGTGTTTAAAATTATATTGGACAATTCACTTGAAGAAGCACTATAGTGAACAATCCTACAATGACGGGGGGAATCTGAATCTAGGGTTCATGACTCCATGGGGATGCCACATGAAAGAGATCAGTTGAAAGTATACTCCTTCCTTTTTATTGATTTTGAGGGGCAGAAGGTCTTTTGCCATCTCTATTTTTTTATATTCTAGGGAGATAATAATAAATACATTTACATTTAGACTCTAAGGATCATTACTCCACTCTAAATTTTGTATAATACCACAGGCTGAAGTAAAAACTATATAACCACATGTCATTTGAGAGTCAGTGTTTTGACTGGGGAAGGGAATTAAAAGATAAATATATACCCAACATATTTGGGGAGGGGAAAGCTTTATTTATTTATGGTGCATTTTAAATTATAGTGCTGCTTCAGGACACTGAGAAACTATTTATTGGTTACTTCTTTTGTTGTATTTACATCTTTTCCCATAAATGGTCATTTAACTATTAACTTTGCTTTCTTAATTTGCATTGGAAGTACAGTTGTTTTAACATTCATTCTTAAATATGCAGGGTAACCATGTCAAATAAGAAAAAAAAAATGCCTAAAAGTAATATAATTACTCTTACCAGTCCATTTCTAAATGTATATTTCCTCTGAAACCTCCACTCCAGAAGTCTAAGCTAAACAAGGTGTTGTATCACAATACAAACTCTGAGAATAAAGCACGGGACTGTGGGACAGGCCAGCAAAGTGATTTATACAGAAAAAAAAAATAGTATATATTTTCATTTAAATCAGCTCTGACTTGACTCCTATTCACAACTCATTTTCCTTGTATTTACATATCAAAAGAGACATCTTCATAACTAGTCTGCATTCTCTCCTTAGTTCAATGGCACTTAAACGATGCAGGTGGAAAGATGCAGAAAGATAAATTCTACCCATGAAGAAATTTCTCACACGCATAGAGGAAAAGTAAATATGACAGTGATCAGAACTGTGTATTAAGTGGAAATCTACAATCAGCTGCAGGAGTGAAAACAAGACCAAGTATTAAGAAAGTGAGGGGGCATTAAACTTTACAGACCTATAGCAGTGCCATTCTATCAACATCAATCTCCAGCTATAGAAACAGCTACAGAATGCCTCCTGCTATCTGAATGCTAAACTTTTTAACTGTGCTCTAAAACTGTATTGCTATTTTTAATACCATACTTCTTTGAAAATGATGAATTTAAAAATACACATTTTTCTTCAAAAAAATACTCTGCACCTTACATTTGAGTAAAAGAAAAGTAAAAAGCTGTCATCAAGATTATGTTCTTGCAAGTGTGCCATATTTTATGTATTATTTTTCTCCTAAACTGAGAGTTGGAAAATTAGGGTGCCTCTTAAAAACTAGGATGTCATAACTGATGTAATATGGTAGTACAAAAGCAGGTTCATAGATAGGTTTTATTGAGATTCATATGTGGAGAAATTGAAAATGATTTAGACATTCCTAATCACAAAAATATACAGGAGTCATATTAATTTCTCTCTTTACTAAATACAGATAAAACATTATCCCTCTCCCCACCCAAAACACAAGCAAACAGGTTTTACAAAGGATATATTGGCCCTGAGCAACTGTTGTGCTAGCCTATGAGCTTCAACAGCTGCCACAGCACATCTGTGCACATAAGCAGTGGTTCCAATAAATTGGATACCATTAAATTGTGCCTCAACTAAGCTCCTCTCAAACTTATTCTCAGAGGAATAGCTCACCTTGGTTTAAAGACCTTTTCCATGCATAGAGGGGTACAGAAAATCCCTAAGGATTTGCTCCATGCCTGGGCAAAAAAAAAGGATGTTTTACACTAAAGAGAGTCATCTCTGGCCTGAATTCATTCTAGTAAATTTTCTTTACATTACCAAGCATTCTGATCCAGTAATAAATGTCACTCCAAAGATAGTTCTGTTCTTGCTCTGCAATTCAGAGTTAAAAAGATATAGGAGTTGTTTGTAGTCTCAGCCTGTCATGCATTGTTTCCTTGAATACAAAACTGGTGATGGACTAGGGATGAACCACACAGATTCAACAGATACTCCTCCCTTCTTTCAGAAGGCGACATTACTAAAGTACAGTTGTATAATCATTACATTATCTGAAAGGAAAGATTCTTCTTTCCCCTTGAAACATCTATTTGCACACTCTGCTTCCTAAAGTTGTGAGGTTTAGAGAGCATTATTTCTTTAGTTTAAAAGCTTTTAAACTGCTCTCTGTTGTTTCTTACTAAAGAAGACCTAAGGAATGATACTTTATTTTTATTTGTTTTACATTTGAGGCTTATTTGGAGGTATATGCTCTTATAGGCTAGGGTAAGAAATTACACATAAATCAGTGTAACTGATTGGAAACCAGTTCAAATCTGTAACGCAAAAGAAGTTCAGTGCACATAAATCACTTTACTAATGGCCAAAACCAGTTTAAGATAAACTTGGATGGATGTAGTATAAGACTTAACTTATTTAAGTTGAATCTGGAAGGGATCTGGCACAGAAGTTCAATAAATCAATTTAAGTTAACTCACAGTCCCCAGAATCCCAGGATATTTTGTACCTTTCCTACAAATACCCTTTTGCAGGATGGGCAGGCTAGCCGTGGCCCAAGCTGTCTTGGGAGTTGTGGTCTAGCCACCCTGGCTTCTGGCCTGGGCCACTGCAAGCACATGGCTGCATTTCCAGAGTCAGAAGTAAAAGTGTGTTTACTTGCTTATTGGTTCAATCTACACAGCTTAGACTAACCTAAGAAGACTGAATCAATTCAGCCTCAGGCTTTTTGGCTGTCTGTATTAAGCTATAGTGCTTGTAGAGAAAAAGGCATAAAAGATTGTGTGTTAAATTTTAGAATTTTAAAAATGAGCCTTCGTGAGCATTTATTGCCATTTACTTTAGGCAGTGTTCAATAATTATTTTTATTTTATTGTGTTACACTAGCAACTAGAGATCCCAGTTTATATTAGCTTCTCAGCATTATGCAAACATGTAATTTATACAACTAAAAGCAGGCAGAAAAGCAGAAGCCCAGAAAGGTGAAGTGACTTGCCTACGGTTTCATGTGAAGTCAGGTCAACACCTAATCTAGAAAGGGAGTACAGGTCTATAATTCCCAGTCCAGCACCAGACTC